TTCTCCTCTGTCTCTATTTACTTTCTGTTATCGAGCCACGGTCTCAATGTTGCCTGCCGATTTTATTTCCTCCTGCTCACGACTCGTTGTTTTCTCTCTCTCTCTCTCTCTCTCTCTCTCTCTCTCTCTCTCTCTGTGTGTGTCTCTCACATTTTTTCATGCGTGTTATGTTTGGTGGTCTCTCTTGTGTGTTCCCCTCGTGCTGGGCGTACGATCTGTTGTTTCGCGTCTTTTTCGCTGTCGGCAGGTCCGTGGGGCGCGTTGCCGTGGTGGACTTCGGCACTCAACTCGCAACCGGCACCGCCGACATCCTTTGCCGCACGCTGGACCCGGCCTTCCTCTACGCTACCGTTGCTGTGTGCGGTACGATGGGCATCATTCTTCTCGTTTCGTCACAGCAGTTTGATTCTCATTTACACAGCGATTAGTCGCTTGACTTGTACGGTACGGAGATTCTTGCTTGTTGCTTCACAGCAGTTTTTCCTGGTTTCCACACCGATTTATTTGGTGTCTTCGGTCTGTCCGCGCGAACATGCAGCATCACATGTGTGTTTGTTCGCTGAGAACCTATTTCCACGGTAGAAGATTGTGGTTGGTTCTTGACAGCAGTTTGTTCCCCTCATTTACGCAGAGATTTATCAAGTGTCTTGATTTCCACGGTACGGAGATTCTTGTTTGTTGCTTCACAGCAGTTTGTTCCTCGTTTCCACAGCGATTCATCAAGTGTCTTGGTTTCTGACGTACGGTAGTCCACGAGTTTCGTCCCCCCTCCTTCCATGTCTACCCCCTTTTCCGCGCATCGTTACCGTGTTGTATGTTCTCCGTTTGCGTGTACGCAACCATTTTGAGAGGAGAGCTCTTCCGATGTGCACTGTAGCCATCGGACGACTCTCGCTCCTTGTCGACTTGCACTCATCACGTACCCGCCGCCGTACAGATCGGGTCTGTTTTGACTGTTGTTGGTCGTGGGTGTGGGTGGTGGTTGTTACTCCGACCGTCGTTGTCCCTCGTCCCTTACCCTTCCGCCTCTCTTTCTTTCCCCCTCACCAGACGCCGCAACCGCCACAACAGGGGTGGGGGCACACGAGCACGCCCTCCGCCTGCTAGGCGCAGGCGCAAGCAGCAGCGAGCAGCAGCAGCAGCAGCAGCAGCAGCAGCAGCGGCTCACCCGGGCGGCGCTGGGAGGCAGCAGCGGCGGCGGCGGCGGTGCCGTGGCCGTACTCTACGCTGCGCTCGAGGCCTTCCGGCCAGACCTGGTGATGATTTCCGCCGGCCTGGACGGGAGGAAGGGGGACCCGTGTGGGCGGGGGGACCTGGTGGCCGAGGACTTCGAGTGGCTAACGCTAGAGGTGCGTGCGGAGGGGAGGAAAACCCTTTCTTTTTTAGTGTGGGCATGCGTGTGCGTTAGAAGGCACAGAGAGATGGGGGGTTCGACCTGACTAGTCAATTATTGAGGTGCCGAAGGTATGCGTGCAACCCGTCGCCAAAAGCAGACGGCAGTGTTGGTGTTCGAAGCTTGGCCGGAAGCAGAGAACAAGCCACCCTAGGGGGGGAGGGCGGGATGTAGAATTCTACCCGCCCCCGGCGAGTTGCTCAGTTGGTCGAATTCACCATCTTGTGTGTGTTGGGGTCGCCCGTACCCTTGTACAACCTTCCTCCGCCCCCCCACGCACACCGAACCCTACCCACGGCACCGCAGGTGGTGAAGATGGCCGAGCGCTTGTGCGGCGGGCGAGTGGTTTCCGTAGTGGAGCGTCACTGCGTCGCGGCGCAGGCGGACACGAACGCCGACCCCGGGGGGGCACCGCCGCCGGCAACGACGGTGGCGGCGGGGGTAGGGGGTGATAGCGAAAAAGAAGGGGGTCCGCGGAACGCTGCTGCCGGGCGCGACGACGGCTCCGACGCCATGGAGACCAGCGGCGACAGCGGCAGCTGTGAGGACGGGGCCGGGGAAGGGGCAACGCCTCCTTCGGGCGAAAAAAAACGCCACGAAAAGGGGGCCCGGCAGATGGGGGAGAGGGCCCCGCACGATGATGATGATGGAGGGCCGTCGTCCGAGCTGGAGTGCCTCAAGGGACACATCCGCGGCCTGCGCTCCGGCTGCGTGGGGCTCAGGGCGGGTGGCGCGATGGGGGGAGGTACGGTTTGAGCGAATCAGGGGGGGGGGGGGGGGGGGGGTNGGGGGGCGTTGGGGGTAGGTCAACGAGAAGGAGGGCGCCGCCGATTAATGTTACACCGAAAGTTGAGTTTTTTTGGGGTGGGAGTTTTATGATATTGTCCCATGTGTAACGGGGCAAGGGGTCTAACAACAAATCAGTCTAATATACGGGGGAAATAAGGGTTGGGGATGATGATGATGATGACAATACAACCTTCGAGGTGTTTTTCTCGCGGAAGCTGCGGACCGGCGGGATGGGTTTTCCAAGCAACGGTATGCATCGGTGTCGTAGGGTGTGTTCCAAAATGTTGTGTACATGCCTGGCTGCTGCTGCTGTTGGCGGGCGGGTCTCAAACTACAAGGAAGAAGGGATGGTGCTGACAGATTTTTCATGTGTGTTGTTTTTTACTTGTGTGTGTGTGGCCCTCCCGCTTGAAAGAGGAGTGCCGGGAGGCGTAAACGTCAGCGTTCGTCTCTTCACCGGTGTGGCTAGTATTGTAGGTCCCTCTCATCCCTGTCTGTCTGTATGTCTTGTCGTGTTTCCAGGCGGAAAGCTGAAGCGTGTCTCCTGCTGTTCACTAGTGGTGCGGTTTGTTTGTGTAGTGGAGAGGGCGCGCGGGGGCGCGCGAGGGCGGGCGGGCGTCTTGTGTCGTTTTTGCGCTCCTCCCCCCCCCCCCCCCCCCCCCCCCCCCCCCCC